AGAGAGAGAGAGAGAGACTTTAACGAAAGGATAACAATAATTATACACTAAAATTAATAGTATTTTAAACACAATTTAATGGTTTGATTAGAGAGTTGTTCAAAGAATTAGAATAATAGCCATTAAAGCAGAAAAAGAAATACAAAACTAATGTATTAAATATAAAAACATTGACAAAAATTAATCAAATTATAAACCAGAATATTATTACAAACCATAATATTTATATATAAAGTTATTATTGAGATAAGTTATGAATTTTATTACTCTATTCTCTATGATTATGTGTTTATACATGTCTTACAAATCTAATTCATAATTACGACAATAGAAACAAATTCAATACTTTTTCTCTTATGTTTATTTTATTAGTTGTTATAATTTTCATTGTGTTTAAAAATATTGAGTCTGCGATATAACGAGTGGTCTGTCGTGAGAGAGATATTTGCCAAACATCTGAGGATTCAATTGTGACTTCTGGAGGAAAGAGAGACAATGACATTGATATAAGACTGCAAAACACGCAAAACAATTGTTGAAAAATATATATAAACTCATAGATTGTAGAGAAAGAGAAATTCTTGTGGGACTTATATAATGCCAATTCGTTGTCTCAATACATATCGTGTTTGAAATATATGTTGATTTCCTGTTTGCGGGCAATAGTTTTGGTTCATCCATCCATCCATCTCTCTCTCTCTCTCTCTCTCTCTCTCTCTCTCGTCAGACACTTTCACTATTCATCGCCAATAATAATCCCAATTCCTATCATTAAGTTTCACTTTAAATGACTTTTTGAATGCAATAATTGTTTTATCGCACATAAAAACGGCGGACAAAAACACCACAAAAATCCTATTATCCGTTCGTTAATTGATTTTCAGATCATTTTTCAATTAAACACATATTTATAAATAAATACAAAAAACAATTTCCACTAAATATATCGTCAAAAATTAATTGTCATTTTCAGCACACAATTTAAATTCTAGAAATTCTAAAACAATCTATGTTTAAAAAAAGCTAATGATATAGCTAGGATACTCTCCCGCCCCCTCAAAACCCGGCGCACGTTATATATGAACAGATCGTAACGTTATTTGCTTTCCGTAACGCTATTTCAATGGCATTGAAAAACACATGTGTTTTGAGTGTTTGTGTTGTGTTTACACTGAAAACCATATCCACGGCTATTATCTCCTCCACAGTACCACTCAATTGATCCCAATTATCACCCGAAGAACAGCTCGAAGACATGTCCCAACAACGGGTGGGCGAGTTCTGTGACCGTTGCGGAGCTATTCTTCCGCTACCACTGAGTATCGATGTCTCGTCCGATATCTCGTGCAGTGTCTGCGGCTTCCGAGTGGACGTCCAGCGCTTCCACGGCATCACTTCCACCACAAGAATTGTGTTCAACACGAGACAAGTGCTGCACCGGTCGACGGCCGACAGTCAGGGACCGGTTGTCGAGCGAAAGTGTGCCAAATGTGGTCACGAGAAGCAGACGTTCGCCACTCTTCAGACCAGATCCGCCGACGAGGGACAGACTGTCTTCTATACGTGTCTTAATTGTGGCGCTCAGGAGAATGAGAACTCTTGAGCAACTGATCCAAGTGTCCGTTTAGAGCCACTTCTCACCACTGGTGGTGTGTTTTGTCTCACATCTGATCCAATGGTTTTGATGTCCCGTTGAATATAATGTACTTTTTTATGTATTAATTATGTGTTTTGTTTTAAATTAAAGTATTTTTTATTTTATTTAAGTTTTTGTATTTAATTAATGCTTTTTTTTGTTTAATTTGACACAAAATTGTGTATATATTTTGAGACATTTTGTGGGTTTAAATAGCGGTAAAACTTTTTTGCATATATTTGTGTCGATTGGTTGGGAGTCTGAAGACAGGCATAAAACTAATGTATTTTATCGCCAAATATGGTGTTATTTATTGCCAATACATGTGAATATGTCTTATCGGCCAAGACTTTAATATTTAATGTCACGCTTTTTGTCTCCCTATTGCCAGACACCCCCTCCCGGGTCCCTAAAAAGTGCAAATGTTTCACTTATTTTCAAATGTATATATTGTTTGTCTGAATATGTATTTCTCCGTATGTTTTTTGGTTTGGTTTTTGGACTTTTTTCTGATATAAAATATATTACTTTTCAAATGTTTGGGAATTTTGAGCCCAAAAAACATATTTCGTTGGATAAGAATCAAAAATATTTTGGCCAAAAACCATAAGTTTTTAATACACAGAGAAATGCGATGAAATGTAATGAAATTGTCAGTAGTTTTCGTGCAATTTAACCAAAAAAGTCAATAATAATACACAGAATTCAATGAAAAAGAGTAGCAAAAAAATATTTGTTATAATCTGTATGTCATGTCATGTCATATATCGTATGAAAAAGACAATTATATATCGTATATCACATTCTGTATGCGATTGTAGAGAGAGAGAGAGAGAGAGAGAGAGAGAGCACTGGGATAGAGAGATAGGGTAAACTGATCCGGAGAACTGATCAGTTGTGAATCACACCATAACAATAGGCACGAGTGAAATACACACTGAATGCCAGGTGTCTGACAGTCGTGTTGTGTTGTATACGCTATACGTGTGCGGAAAGGGATGACAAATGCATCGGTGAAAGAGTTGTCGAGAAATAATGCACACAATTCTCGGCTCACATATTGTTATTTATGTCAAACATTAGTTGATTCTCTGTCTCTCCGGCCTCTCATTCATTGCATTCATTCAATGAGTTTATGTTTTTTTAAACACAGAATATCTGTATATATGTTATGCATATATTCTGACAGTAAGTCTATGGAGAGTGAGATAAAGAAAACTAGAAAAAAATATATCTCATTCAATACAACACAACAAAAAATCTTTGGACAACCGATTCATTTGAGCGCTTCGTTAACATAACAGCACACCTGGTATTCAAGGCATAGGAGAGAGACTTAAAACTTATTCTCTCTCTCTCTCTCTCTCTCTCTCTCTCTCCCCGCAATTCTTCGTCTCCTTTGTCTACCACTCGATGTCTATTGGTTTTGATAATCGGATCGTATCTGAAATCCTATATCTCTATACTTATGTTGCGGTTTAAGACCATGTATTGAATTTGTCGCGATAGCAGGTCTTCTGTCGCCGCCGTTGTCTATCATAACAGAGACCACAGAATCAGTGACTTTATTATGACATGAAACACATAATTTTTGCTCACAAAAACCCATAACAATAGACTGTTTGCAAGCGTATCATAAATATCGCTGAATTTGTATTGTATTATAAGTTAATAGACGTTATGACAGATATTGACAGAAGTTTTTGACACAACAAATCAAGTGTAAGATAAATACGTTTAGAGTTTTGGCATATATTTTGGGTACAAAATTCTCGGTAATTGTGTTTTGACAACGAGTAGTAATTATTCATTTAATATAATACTATTTGAAACTAATATAAAAGTTATAAAAAGTTATTTTTATTACATTATTATTGCTATAAAATACTAATACGGTATAAAATACTAACAGGTGTTGAGATTCAAATGCTAGTCCTCTTTGTCTCTCTCTTGCAAACAATGACCACTTTTTACGACAATATTGTAATAATAAATTTGTTTTCCGACTCTCTCTCTCTCTCTTTCTCCATATCCCGAGAAAAATTGCATTTTTGTTGCTTAAGCTGTCGATCACTGACTCATGAATTTCTATATGAATTATTTATGAGAGATTTTATACATGTATTGTTGAATACAATACTGGAAACACTCGTGTATTGCTATAGATTTTGATTATTTATAAATGCCTTTTAAACCTTTGGAGAGAAATATTTCTCTCAATCGTATTTGACATAACATTTCTGACACTAATTCTTGACATCAATTGTTATGAATTATAATTTAAATGAATGGTTGTGTGCCTTAAATACCATCGTTTCAATCAAATACCACATCCAATGGCTCTTAATATATAAGGAATTTTCTCTGAAGGATAGCCCACCTCTTGGGCCACAAGTATTTGAATACATTATGTAATCAACAAATGAAATATAATGTATAACTTATTTACTAAACTTTTATAATTAGTTACAAACAAGAAAATTAAAAACAATATACAGTAAAATTCAATTGCTATTATCTTAGGAGCAAATGATTTTTACATTCAATCAATTCATTATTACATCAGTGAGTGTTGTATTGCAAGCACTGCGACAACAATGAATTGACTGAATGTAAAAATCATTTGCTCTTAAGTTAATAGCAATTGAATTTTACTGTAAATAAAAAATATTTCGCCAAAAATACCCCTATTTTTAAGCACAATATTAAAGCGACAAAAATGTTAATATTTTTTAAAAACAACACAAATACTGTATTCAAATGGATTTGAAACACAAACCATACGTTTGCATATCCGGTGCTAAAGTTTGCGGACCCGTTGGTCTGGTGCAGGCATGTTATGCTTGTGTCAGCCCATGTATGCCATTTGGGTCAATGTTTACGGGTTAAGGCCAAAGGGCATAGTGTTTACTGTTCAATGGGAAACAGTTAGCCGAATGGTTTTTGTTCAAAAAATATGTTATACTGGTTATTTTTTGGCAGTTATGCATTTATTTTTAGCCTCACACTAACATTTGGTCTCAATATTATCCGCACACAAAAAAAAACTATTTCTTACAAAATGTTAAATTCGTGAGAATTATTGCAATAAATTTTTATTTATAGAAAATTATTGTAATTTCTTTTTGATATTATCTATGATTTATAGGTTTTATAGTATTGTTCCCAAATGTTTAACGACTTTTTATGGTATGTTTTTGAATTCATTATGTAATCAGTTATTGATTTTACATTAAAAACTGATTATTAAATACACATTTCCATGTCTACAGACAGACAGAGAGTTGAGACAATCTAATGGGGAGAGAGAGAGAGAGAGAGAGACCTAATAACAGACTTTGAAAAAAGTAGTTAATTTGAATGCTAGTGTGAATTAATACGTTTATTACGTGTTAATAGCATTGAAAAATACAATAAAACATTTTCATATGAAAGTACAGCACATTTATTATAATAATAAAATATATCGTCAATAAAAGGCCAGAGATGTTGTATAATAACAATCCCACCAAAAGACCAAAACTTATATTTTTCATATTATTTTCCCATACATTCCTATCGCTAAACATACAAACAATATATACAGAGTACTAGTCTTTAATGATTGCGATAATTATATGAATGCATAGTTTATTTTGATATAACATTTATTTGAGTCAATTTTTAATATTAACTTTTTATTTTGTTTTGTTTGTGGCAAACAATTGTTAATCGCTTTTCTCTATGACAGCAATTCATGAATCAAATGATATATAATGAGTGTCTAAAGAATATTTATATTTCTTCTGCGGTTTGCGAGAGAGAGAGAGAGAGAGAGAGAGATTTAGGAGTAGTTGTTTGGCAAACATCATCTTGGGCATTTTGTGAATGACGTATAATTACAGTCATTGAGATATTTAGAGACTAAAACCACTGCCGTATCGGTTGCTAAACGTGTCACTCAATCGCTAAATGAAGTTTGAAGTAAACTCTCAGCCGTCAAAAAGGGAGACAACATTTAAATCATAGACACTATCGGCGAGAGAGAGAGAGAGAGAGAGAGAGAGAGAGAGAGAGTCTATTGTTATGGTGTGATTCACAACTGATCAGTTCTCCGGATCAGTTTACCCTATCTCTCTATCCCAGTGCTCTCTCTCTCTCTCTCTCTCTCTCTCTCTCCTGATTTTGGAGCCAAACTTTTTATGCTAACACATGAAATATACGGCACATGTATTTGTGTTTTTTGTTGTGTACAGCACTTATGCTTTTTTATGTTTATGAATAATTGCGATCTCTTTATATCGCATAATATGGGTATTGGGAGAGAGCATAGCGTTTACAACACGCGTACGGAATCGCATAATACCCCCTAAAACCAGAGGGACGTCCACCCAAACAGTCGCTCATTATTCATATATTAGACATTCAAATATGCATTTCATTCACAAATCTGTTAGTTTTAAATGTATTTTTTATTTTTTTAAATTACGGTTTAACTTTGTAATTTTATTATATTTATGTGCATATGCCTCTCTCTCTCTCTCTCTCTCTCTCTCTCTCTCTAACTCACTCTCACTGGCCTACAGCCATGCAATGGGTATTAGCTCTAGTGGTGGTATAAATTAACACAAATTTAATTATCATTGAAAATCATTATCATTACTATTAAACGCAAGCAATGAAAAGAGAGAAAGAAAAATATTAAACTAAAAACTCTTTCATAAAAACTGAATGAGAAAAAGATGCAAATAATGAAAAGTTCAAAAAACCTTTTTTCTCTCCATAAGACAACATAACAAACATAAAAAACTAGTTATTTAGCCACTGATTGGGATATTATTATTACATAATAATAATTTCTCAAATGGTTTTTAAATTTATGAGAGACTAAGTGAATGAATGAGCTAAGTATGAGAGAGAGAGAGAGAGAGAGAGAGAGAGAGAGAGATGTCAAAGTAGTTGTTGTGCACTGTTTTTGAACCAAAAAA